GTGAAAATTCGCCGTGTTTCTATCGAGTTATAGAAACACGGTTTTTTTGAGCTTTTAACCAATCAGCGCCCGTGTTTTTAAAAAGCTATTTTATAAAGTGAAATATTATTAGCTCTTTAGAGACTTTTTATCCCATGGTTAAGGTGAGGTTTAGTTTATACGTATTGCAATGGATTGTTTTCAATAGATGTAGTGACGAGTACATATCAATTATTCCACCGAATTACTAAAATAAACTCAGATAATAAACATTTATTGAATGAGGTTTTTGTGATATCCAGAATTATCAAGGTTGAGGTAAGTGTTAGCAGTCGAGCCGAAGACGAGTTTAATTGCACTTATATACCGAGGGCGAACAATTTCGGGATATCACAAAAACCGAGTTCAATAACTGCAAAACATTGCATTTTCACTATTAAGTAAACCTTTCGACAAACAATGATTTGTCACACAGAACTGAACAGCGTTTGGTTCTCAAAAATTGCAGTAAAATGACATAAGATATCACAAGAGAATACAAATGTTAGAAATATCATTTACCTACTAAAAATTCAATACAAATGTCAAAAATGCCTGCTTTCTGCACGAAAAACGTTTAGAAAACGTTTAGTTCATTTCCCCCCCCCCCCGTTTTAATTCGTGTATTTAAAAATTAAATGCTGGATTTGATGGATAATATTTACACTATTTATTAGTAATAGCATGTACACTATTTATTTTAGGACCTAACCAGGAAAGGAAAAAATGCTACACTATATATAGGTCCTCTCGTAGGAATTGATGATTCCCCTTATTACGTTTTCGTAGCGCTTTGCATTGTGGTTATAGTGGCATCACTGATAAAGATAACGGCCTCGAATGAAAATATTGAATGTTTTCGCGAATATTTTGCTGTTGGCTATCGCGCACCTGACCCTAGCTTTTTTTTAAAAGTCCTTGCATGGGTCAGGACAAAAAATAAGCCATCTTGAATATGCATGAGTGATACCACTATAACCACAATGCAAAGCGCTACGAAAACGTGATAAGGGGAATCGTCAATTGAACCTACGGCCCTGTGATTCAGCTGTGCTACAGAGGTCAGCTGTCAAGCTGTAACCGCATGTTTATGTATAGATTTTGTATATAAAATCTATTGAAACGTATCAAATGCTGCTCCAGACTTGCAAAATAGAGCTTGGAAGGATTGACTTTGAACTATGTATTATTTCATTACTCACTTCTTTTTTACAAAATCAAACAGTTAAAGCGACATGTCAAGCAAGAGGTGACCCACACTACTCGACATTTGATGGAACACGTTATGACTTTATGGGAATAGGTGAATATGTTCTGGCTAAGGACAGTGTAAATAACACATTTGAAATAATACAAGTGAATGAACCTTGTGGAAGTGGACAAGTTTCCTGCACAAAATCACTAACAGTGATTTTCCCAACTGTAACTATCCAACTACTGCGGGGAATTGTGATGGTAAATTACTTGGAAATTGCTTTGCCTGCATTCTATGAATGTAAGTTATGTAGACTTCATACTAGATATACTCGTTAAGATTTGACGTTCAAGTTATAAATTTCAAGCTCAGTGCATCTAGCCATTTCAACGGAATGTCCTTTTATTCTAATAGCTTTTATTTTGAAATGGAATTTCATGATAATGTGTGTTTGGAATTTTCCTATATTATATATGTTATTCGCAACAGAAATATCTCATCAAAGTTTTTGAGTCCATAGATAGGTAAATTTGATAGCGCAAAAAGTTGCCAAAATTATAATACTTTACACTAATTAATACAGCTAGACCGCGGCTGTTAATGACGTTTTTAGCTGTACTATTTTATTTTTATGAAGTTAAAAACTTTTTCTACATCAAACAAATGTAACTATTAATTTTTTGTTGCTGGCAACAGAATAAATATTTAATTACGTAATTTATTAAGTATTTGGGCTACAAATGTTTTTAGCTTTACTGGAAAGACAAACCGTGGAAAACGTAATTTTTTTCCTAGGTACTAGGGATGCGTTCCTTTAGTGCAATCCGGATTTGGATCTTCAAATCCGATTATCGATTTTCAGTTTCATTTAACAAAATCTTTAAATAGATTCGAATCTGATGAATCCACCTCAACATACGTTTTTTCGGATTCAATACGACTTGATTAGGAGTCAACGTTCCTTTTGAGCTTCTGCCCTTCTAGCATGTACCTTGACCCGACCGAAAGATATAGTGGGACAGAAAACTTATTGTAAAATTGGAGGGGGAATAGCAGGCGAATAATTCCGGACCGATTGTCACAACACATTATTTCGATAATTACGTCACAACTACACGGTTTTCAACTTAGGACCATATTAAATGGAAAGGATTTCAAGGGTTTTTTTCTCATGGGCTATGCACAGAGAAGCAGAACATCCTTCTTCGTCACATCCATGAAAAATATTTTGGATTTTGATCAATAAATATGGAAATTAGCATTAACACGAAAACGAGGCTCCAGGTCATGACCAGGAGCCTGGTTTTCGTGTTAAATCTTATTTCCACATTTATTGGTCAAAATAAATAATTATTTTTCATGCACGTGTTGAAGAAGGATGTTCTGCTTCTCTGTGCATAGCCCATGAGAAAAAAACTCGAAACCTTTTCCATTTAAGGTGGTCTTAAGTTGAAAACAGTGTAGTTGCGACGTAATTATCGAAAGAGTGTATTCGTTCCATTTGTTTAACGAATCCTAAAAATCCAAATCGTACAAGTTGAAATCTAGAGTTACAAAAGAAACGCTCCTGATGAGATAAAAAATATAGCTTCTCGCTATTGAAAGGGACGGAACATTTTATAATGAATGAAAAACGAACCGCGGAAAAATTGTATTTTTGAAACCTATACCCAAAACTTTTGTATTCTATGAGATTAAGTTATGATATATCCGAAATACAACATTAGATAACTGGCTTTTTTTGATAAAGCATGTTTTTTTGCCTCGCTTTTTTACGTTGCCAGATCAAAAATATAGCTATACATACTCGCCATTTTAACAATGAAAAAAAAAACGTGGAAAAATTGTATTTTGCTTGCAGAAGTTTTCCTAGCCCTAGGTCCGAAACATACCCAAAACTTTGTATTCTACGAGATTAAGTTTTTGATATATCCGAAATATGACATTGGATAACCGGGTTTTTTGACAAAGCATTTCTTCTCGCCTAGATTTTTAACGTTGCCAGATCTAAAATATAGCTACTCGCCATTTTAACATTAAAAGTTCAAAAACACATCTAATTTAGCATACCTGTTTTCCAAACACGCATTCCAGTTACAGCGTTTATGACAACAGACGTTTGAAAACTTATCTTCATCTATATTTTTATCTTATAAACATACAGTTGTTTTGCAAAATATCCTGATCACCTCGTGAGTCGTATTATAATTAGTCTAAATGTCGAACCCCGCAGTGAAATCCCCGACTTTATCTAAACTACAACATTCCCTCATCACCATTATTAAGAATCCTGAAAAAAGCTTTTGTTTTCTAATACCACAGAACCCCAAATACCACAGAACCCCAAATTATTCCTTACCTGAATTATTCAAAATATATTTGTCGATCTTTTGCATTGTGAAAATCAAACATACCTGAGAAGAATTGACCGCTTCCCTCGTTTAGAAAAACTTCCTGAAGCCTTATAATTATTTCCCCGGAATTACGACATCGTTACAGACAGACGCAATACTAAAGGGTTATTAACCGAGAGCGAGGTCTGTACGGGAAAGTATTTGCCCGAGGTTTTCGTACAGACCGAGCGACGAAGGAGCGAGGTCTGTGCGGATAAACCCAAGGCAAATACTTTTCCGTACAGACCGAGCAAAACGAGGTTAATAAACCTTTTTTTATATGGCTCCTTAAACACATCTATTTGTTTGAGCGCTATAAAGGTATTTTTGAGCTATGTTTTATTTGCTAGTTTTCTTCGTTTAAATTTGGTTTCGTCACCGAATATTGTTTACGGAAAAGCATGTTTAACAATCGCTTTAGAACTACTTTTTCGGCAACCCCCACCGCCAGAAAAAATGCTTATAAACCCAGTTTATATGATATTTGTTTAGAATATGGTATTAAGGACGTTAAATTCATCTTTATTTATTTTTTGAAACAAGTAAACAAATCAAAAAATTTTCCCGCCAAAACTTACGGTTGCCAGTAAGAGTTCAAACGACTTGTTTTCTTAGCTTTTCGACGAAATTTGTGGTGTACAAGTACTTATTAATATTTCCAAGACGTCTTATTCTTAAAAATGATCCCAGGATCTATACTTTTTCTTCACATAACGACCTTATAAACGCGTAAAAACGTTTCAAATTCGACCCTGTCAAATTGACATACGGGAAACCGGTCCGGATACGGGAAAATACGGATCACGCATTTTACGGACCGCACGTCGACCAATCAGAATCCAG